ATCTAACAATTCTCTCTACCGTTGAACATATATTATGTTATTAAGATCATGCTAGTATCAATGGAAGAGATTATTTTATATCAGAACACTTTGAGTACGTTTGTTTACACCTTGCAGTTAAAAATGCACATATAGTATGTCTGTGAAATATATATTTAATTACGTTTAAAAGTCAACTTTTTGTGTCATGCATATATTACAGAAATAAAAAGACCCTCTTGTATTACCATCCCTTCTACATATATACATTGTATATTGCTAGAAGAAGAAAAAGAAAAAAGGCCATTGGCTATTGCTTATGAAATCTTTGGGTTGTAATGTGATGAAGTATACTGTTTCTTTGCGATGTATACAGGTGGATGCGAAAATTGCTTATAAAAAGTGCTAAGCGCGATTTGGAGGAATCTGATATTTATCGTCCAATAAAAGCGGACGAGTCAGAAAAACTAACCGATCATCTCGAAAAGTGAGTATCGCTAATGTTCGAGACAAATAGTCATACGTCAAAGTACGCGACATACATATAATAATAACACTTGTAAGATATATATTATTTATCCTGTGTAATATGTTAGAGTCGTCGTCATAAATTTGTAAGTCACAAGCCTGCGCGTGAGTTATTATCCGCGAAGCGCGAACACGTAACGTTCTAACCGAGGGGAAAACCGCTGACCAAAATCTTGTACACCAATGCCCACTAATGCCCAGTGGGCATTACTTTATCTTATTATCTTCTTTTATCTCATTTATCTTGTTTTATCTTATTTTATCTTATTTTATCTTACTGTATCTTATTTTATCTTATTTTATCTTTATAATGCCCCAGCAAGACGTAATGCTCAAAAAATGCCCCAGTAATGCCCAGTAATGCCGCAAATCTGTACACCACAATGCCCTCAGCGGTTTCCCCCTCGGTTCTAACGCATATTTTTTTCGTTCAGGTACTGGAATCGCGAGCTGGACAAACTGAAGAATATGAAATATACCGTGGGTAAAGATGGGCAGAAGGTGCCACTGAATAAGAACGTCCGTCCGAGATTATACAAAGCGATTTTCAATGCTTTTTGGTTGCCATATTTCATAATCGGAACCTATGCATTCATACAGGTATATCAATATTTTAAGAAGAAATAACATATGATATTAATAACTGTGATACTTTATTAGTGAAATCAAACAATGTCTAAATAAGTCATATCTATGTATGCCCAGGGTTGGGTAAGTTATCTTTTTTTTAACTAATTGTAAGTTAAGCTAAAGTTAACAGCCTTGAAAATTTAACTTAGTTGAAATACACAAGTTAATCCATAATACAATTAACTCAATTCAAAGTTAAGTTAATAATAAAAAGAAATTAAAAAGATAAATTTGTTTTATTTTTACATAAAATCTCAGAGACTCACGATCACGTAAATTGCACTGAATTTCACGATCAGCGTTCAAATAATCAATCATACTATACGAAATATAGCCTATTTCATATGCAGACAATTTCACGTGAGTTCCAGACTCAAAACCCTATATAATGGCTGTGTTCCAAAATTCATTGCCAGCGCTGAAGAACTCTATAGTGCACGTAACGTATTCTGTAGATTTTTAGCGCTGGCTTCACCTATATTTCACCTATATTTTACCATTAATATGTATTTTCACTTTAAGAAATCTAGAAAAAAAAATTACAGTTATAATTAGGTAATTTTCCGGATTTGAACAAGTAATTTCCATGTAAAAGTACATTAATTTTTTTTAGTGTGAAGTTAAATTTATTGAATTTTTAATTTTTTAACTTATCTTTTACCTTTTTAACCAGACACTATCCAATCCTGTGTATATCATATAATTGGTATTACTAAATATTTTCGTGATAAAAGGAAATATTGGAAAAATATTCCCACTATTGTAAGAGAAACGATAGAAGACTGTTTGCGTTAGATGTCTACTTCTCATTAGATTCAGCTAACAATAAAGAAAAAAAATTGTTAATTTGAAATCTCTCTCTCTCTTTCTGCCATTATCTTTCACAAATCATTAAATTTAAATGTTTTAATTTTCAGTGTAATGTGGTACGCGTCGCATTACCGATATTTCAGGGTTGGGTTCTCGATTACTTCACCAGAAATCAGACAGCGAAGACAGAGACGAATGATGTATTGATTTATATAGGCTGCATGATCGTTTGCAGTTTCATCTCCGTTCTAATAAACCATCATGTGGTATTGCTTTCGCAGCAGATCGGTATGAGGATACGCGTCTCCTGCAGCTCTCTCATCTACAGGAAGGTAATGTTATGGATTTGTGTTGACCCCAATTTCTCTCTAGAGAAAGAAGGAAAAGAGGATAACTGGAAAAAAGCATTACACCTGCTTTAATTAACTAATGACTGTATAATTTTTAACAAATCGTGGATCAAAATTGGATCAAAATTTATCAACGTTGGGAATCAACGACAAATATATGTATAAATTTTTAGATTACAAATCTGTAGATTAGAGAGCTGTGAAAAAAAACTGATCGGAACCAGACCGCATAATGTGAAAAAACAAAGTTGATATATGTACATAATTATTCACTAATAATTAATTTCCTATCTCCAACATTGACCTTTGAAGGTCTATGTCAATTTAAGATAATTTAAATTTCGATATGCGTATGCAAGATCAACTAAGTCAGAGAGTCATATGTACATTTTAAAGATATAATGAATGAAAATATTGTGAGTTACACGTGTCCGCTATCTTCTTTATTCGGTATACTTTTAAACAGATAGCGCACTTGCAGGTATCCCACGAGTCTCTATCGGTTGAAATTGAAAGGTATATCTAATGAAGAAGATATCGGACACATGTGACTCACAATATTTTCACTAAATATATCTTTAAAATGTAATCGCATGTCACGTGTATGTACTTATCTCTTTAAAAATGGAGCAATTTAAGTAAATAGTGAAATACTTAAGGAAACTAGCAGTTTTGACTTGTTGCAATAACAAATATAAAAAATATTTCACTGTACTGCCTTAATTTAAAAGACATTTTAAAATTATACAAACTAATTTTATATTAAAACAACTTTTTGAATTATGTCTCATTACACCAAAGTAAAATATGTTGAAGGCTTTTTCAAATTCATTTGACGCATCTATTACAAATGATGGAATTACAATTGATTTATTTTCTAACTTATGACTACGACGTATGACGTTTATATGGAAAAAAGAAAATAAAAAAATACGTATATTAATAGTAGGCTAAATATTGTTAATTTACGATAATACAGACCTTTTCTTAAATTATATTGCAGTAAATTTTCTATAATTCTTTCCGAAACTGTTGCAGGTATTACGATTGAATAGAGCATCCATAAACCAAATTGGTGTTGGACACATCATGAATCTACTTGGAAATGATGTTAATTCCTTCGATCAATTAATGTGGTATTTAAATTTCATATGGATCATGCCTATTCAGGTAAATTCATCTCGTGAATAATATCCATTACGCAATATTTCGAGATAATTATACATCAACAGCATATCTGCCTTCATTCCACTAAAATCGCTAAATTAATTTTTCTTCTTAGATTAGTGATAAGTATACCGTTTAATGTGGTAATGATCTAATTTGTATAAAATACATCCATATCTGTATGCGTCCACGCATTCTACAGCTTCTCTAATCGGTTATGAACGTGTAGGATCTCTTTCTTTTTTCTCATCTTTATATTTTATTTTAACAACTATCTGTCAAGGTTAGCTACTTTCTTTTCTAGATCGCGATTATAGGCACTGTAATGTGGCAAAAAATCAATACTTCCACCATCGTCAGCGTAGGGTTGCTATTGATTATCGCTCTAGTGGTACAAGGGACCGTTAGCTTGCTGAATCGCAAAGTCAAAGCCACTGTCGTGCCACTGACCGATCGAAGAGTGCAACTGATAAGCGAACTCGTAGCCGGGATACAGGTAAATCTGATCAGTTATTTTATTTCTAAGCAACCGGTGATGCGAGTGAAGACGTTAACGTTTAAGTGTCAAATTCGAGTGCTGAATGCCAAAAGAACAATTTAAAGAAACGAATCTGCCAAATCGTGACTCTCGTTTCAGGTGATGAAAATGTACGTCTGGGAGAAATCATTCAGCAAGATTGTATCGGTGACCAGAGAACTGGAAATGAAGAAGATCAAGTTCTCGTCGTACGTGCGCGCCATGTATTTCGCGACCGCAGCCTTTACCGAGCGACTGGTCCTCTACTTCACTTTGATAACGTTCGTCCTAATGGGAAATAACTTGACAGCAGACGTGACCTATGAAATATCGTTGTATCTTCACATACTTCAACTCACCGCCGTGATGCTTTTCCCGCGAGCGCTGATACATCTGGGCGAATCGATGGTGTCTATGAACCGATTGGAGGTGCAAGTTATCACATTATTTCAAAATTTATGATGTATATTTATGATATAAATTTATGATAAACTCTTAAATTTATTATTTCTAAATTTTTGCGTTTATTCGACCGCCACACACTTATACAATTATCAAAGTGCGCTTAATTTTTATAGGAACTATTGTTGATGGACGAAGTGAATAAGGAACGGTTGGAGAAGACGCCACAATTACAGTGTAGATCTCAGAAACCAAACAAGGTGTCTAATGTAAAGAATCGGACAGATAGATACCTCTCGACAAATGACAGTACCGCGCTTTCCGAGCTTCAGGAATTATTTGATCTTCCGGTCTGCGTGAAGGTTCAATGTGTTTTTGCAAATTGGATTCAAGGCCATTTGCCGCCGACTTTGTGCGATATCAACTTGACCATCAAGCCGGGTCAGTTGTGCGCTGTGGTCGGCGCCGTGGGCTCCGGCAAATCATCCATGCTACATTTGCTGCTGAAGGAGTTGGATCCAAGCGCTGGTGTCGTGATCTTCACTCAAGACTCCTTAAAAAAAAGTTCTCAAAGCAACCTGTCCAACGGGTACTCTATCAACAACCCAAATCTGCGTATCTCTTATGCTAGCCAGGAACCTTGGATCTTCGACGGTACTATAAGAGACAACATACTGTTTGGCCAGCCTTATAACAAAGCCAGATATATCGAGGTGATTGCCTTAATTCTGGACAGTTAGTGCAGATATTGTACCTTATGCTGCACACAAAGATTGCATACACATTGCGGCAATCTTTCATTGCTATATTTCAATGTTGCAAATGAACTGTGAAATGTTGATGCGTCATTACTACGGGATTTCAGCAACGTTAAAATGTTTGCCTTTAGAAAAATGCATGTATAATATTTCTTAATTTTGTACTCTTTAGTACTTTCTATTATTTCTAACTCGTTGTAATCGACTGACAAACGTTTTAGGTGGCAAATGTGTGCGCCTTGACGAAGGATTTCCGGCAGTTTCCGCAGAGAGACATGGTGATGGTTGGCGATAAGGGTATATCCCTGTCCGGAGGTCAAAAGGCACGAATCAATCTCGCGAGGGCGGTTTACAGGCAGGCGGATCTGTATCTGCTCGACGATCCCTTGAGCGCAGTGGATTCTTGCGTCGCCCGGCATCTTTATTGGAAGTGCATCACTGAGTATCTCCGAGGCAAAACGAGGATAGTCGTAACCCATCAGTTGCAATTTCTGAAACGCGCGGATCACATCGTCGTCTTGGATGGAGTAATTAGAATATTCCTTAATGGGTGTTTTAATTTTTTTTATCATCTTTACGTTCCAAATTTCAACTTTAAATTTGTTTCCATCTAGACGCAATTTATTCACATCACTCGAAATGTGAAGAATTTAACTTTGCCGAGCGTTAATACTAGTAAATAATCAAAATAATTTTAAATTCCTTTCTTTTTGTGGTTTTATGAAGAAAGTCCTCTATTGTAAGATAAGTTTCTAATATGAGATAGCAGGTTTTCAACACCCAAATTCAATCACAAATCTTCTTTCGCAACGCAATCCAACGGCGAATTTTCCACTAAACAAATTTCACCTCAAGCCCAATAAATTCATGGTGGAATCAATAGATGCTGCCTATTAATTTAACAGAAACCTCCCGCTATCTCATACTAGGAGTTTATCTCATAATAGGGGACTTTCTTCTATGTATAAATATATACATATGTACATAAGCGCCTAAATTTTTTGATCGATTTTCAAGGGTTCTGTGAAGGTGCAAGGGAGTTATAACAAATTGGAACAGTCAAATAAAGACTACATTGGCATGTTAGACAGTTTGAGTTATACGACGCGGAAAAAGGAAGAAGACATGAGAAGAGCTTCGGAGATATCTCTGAAAAATATCTCGAAAATGAGACGTGCCTCGGGAATATCAACCGCAAGTTCTATCGTTGTGAGATGACCATTATCATTCGTTCCTTTTAATTAGAAAACACAGAGACTGTCGAAATTTTATATATGATGTCTTGGTTTAATCAAAATATACTTGAATGAAATACGATAAGATAATTGAAAGAGATACTTGTATAGCATGTTCGCTAATAGTCTTACTTGCCCTAAAGCCAATCAATTAATTAGATTGTTATTATGCCATCGTTCAACAGTCTGACATTGATGATTCCGATTATGCGGCGCATATCCCGGAAGCCGAGATGATGGCGCATGGTCGAATATCCGGCAGAGTATACAGGGAATATTTGCATCGCGGAGGCAACTGTTTCACCCTGTTCATTCTGCTACTGCTCTTTATCATCAGTCAGGTTGCCATCACCGGGACTGATTACTGGCTATCGTACTGGACCAACTTGGAGAATGTCAAGTGCATCAAAAACACTAGTGACATTAGACAGTTCGCAAACATGTACAACGACAGATTCCTTGGGTCGATCTTCACGCTGAACCCGGACGGTCTGCTCAGTACTGTGGATGCCATATACATATACACATTCTGCATCATCGCCTCCATAGCCACCGTTCTGCTCCGCAGCTTCCTCTTCATGAAAATCTGCACACAGTCGAGCTGCAACCTGCACAATACCATGTTGTCCAGTCTATTGAAGGCACGCATGTCCTTCTTTCACGTCAATCCTTCCGGTGAGCAATAATCACATGATCCCGACAGGTAGAAAGAAATTGTCCCGTTATGTAAGAGTTTACGAAAGAAGGGGACGTGAAAGTCGCCATTTTTCGCTTAAAAAGAGAACCTGCAAAGCATGTTTCGCTGATTCTTAAAATGTCAGGTGGTAGTGTTTGAGTTTCGAAACAAGCACTACATTTCCATTTAATGAATTCTACACCACGACGTTGTATAGGAATGCATACGAGTAAGAGTTAGGCTGATGGCAGACAACTATCCGTAAGCGCTTAAGACTGACGTAGCCGGAGACTTAAGGTAAGGCAGAGAAAACGTGGAACACGTGTTCCTTACGGCTTACGTTTTTCTCTGCCTTACCTTAAGTCTCCGGCTACGTCAGTCTTAAGCGCTTACGGATAGTTGTCTGCCATCAGCCTTAATGTGTTTTGTGTAAAGTAAGTGTTGCACAGTAATGTTGTAAAATGAACTATTGAGTAAATTATTGAGCTTATATATTTCGCGATTTCAACCTCTTGATCATGAACCTCAATTTCCGGATTTTTCTTCAACCTTGTTCAGATTTACCGGTGTTCATGTTTTAGGGAGAATTTTAAATAGATTTTCAAAAGAAATTAATACTGTCGACGTGCTGCTGCCCAATACAATGTTGGACGCGATTCAGTTGTGTTTCACATTGGGTGGTATAATGATCATGGAGGCGATAATTAATCTCTGGATGCTGATGCCGATAGCAGTACTGGTCGTCTTATTATACTTTGCGACGAAACTCTATATGAGATTCGCTCAGAACATCAAACGTCTCGAAGGCATAAGTAAGTAATGAAACTCGAGTAACTCGTCATCAGACGTCATCAGACAGGAATGAGAGAGGATGCGCGTGGCGTATCTCCTTTACCTCTAGAATTGTTCTTACGTTCACCATCAAACTTGAATCTTTAAGTTAATGCCTGCTGCATTTTCAGCAAAGAGTCCATTGTTCACGCACGTGAATGCCACGCTGAACGGTCTGCCAACGATCAGAAGTAGTGGCGCCGGAATCGAGAAGATGATGCGAAAACAGTTCGATATGTTGCAAGACCGGCATAGCGGCACGTGGTACCTTTTCTTAACATACGGGGCAATCTTGGGTCTCTTTACGGATATAATCATGTGTCTATTCATCGCTTTGATTACCATCTCTTTAGTTCTGATAAATGAGAACGGTAAATTATGGCTACTTATAAGATTTTTAGTTGTCGAGGATTAAATACTCGAGGATTAAATACTCCTTGTAATTTTTCTAAAAGACTTGGCGAAGACTCAGGAAGTTACTACAAAGTAGAAAAAATTAAATAGTACTTTCGGTATTCAAGTTTCAGTATGTTTGTTCGTATTTGTACGCACGATTAGTATTTAGGGAAATATGTTTATATAATCTTGAGGAAAATCTTTGAGCTGTTGCAAGTCTCTTCGTTGATCTTCTTGCTGCAGAGATGGTAGACGACAGCACAGCAGGTCTGGCGATATCACAAGCTTTGGTCCTAACCGGTATCTTGCAATACGGCATAAAACAGTTCTCCGAGACGATGTCGCTGATGACATCCGTGGAAAGAGTCCTCGAGTACACGAATCTTCCTCAAGAAAGATCAATTACCTCGGACAGTCCACCGCCATCTACATGGCCGTCTCAAGGACAATTGATTCTAAAGAACGTCAGCATGAAGTACCACAAAGACGATCCACCGGTCCTAAAGGTAGATAAATCGTTCATTTTTGCGGACATTCTTTATGTTTTGCCACCCTTTTGTGCTTCGTAGGATCTGAACGTATCCATCGAGCCGGGATGGAAAGTTGGGGTGGTGGGACGAACTGGCGCCGGCAAGTCCTCGTTGATCTCAGCACTTTTCCGTCTATTCAACGAATATTTGGAGGGCGAGATTAAGATCGACGGTCGTGACACGAGTACGGTAAGCCTGAGCGAGTTACGCTCCAAGATCTCCATCATACCACAGCAACCGGTGCTCTTCTCCGAGAGTCTGCGCTACAATCTGGACCCGTTCAGTCAGTACGACGATATGAAGCTGTGGGAGGTGTTGCGGCAAGTTGAGCTGAATCATGTTGCACTGGATCATGATATCCTGTATGGCGGCCGTAATTTTAGTGATGGTCAGAGGCAGCTCATATGTCTGGCCAGGACTATCCTGAGGAACAATCGCTTGCTGGTTCTGGATGAAGCCACGGCAAATATTGATTCGCAGTGAGTTTTGATGATTCTTTAAGAGTTGGATTGTTTAAATCTTCCCCGGAATATATTATATCATATAATTTCGACTCGGTAATTGTTAACGAATTATCAGCAGTTTTATAAATAATTGAAACTTTTTATTGGTAAAGTATTAATTTTTTAAATTTATTTAGTATCTCCATGTGGTGTATGGTGTTCGTGATGGAGTATTTAATCTTATTATAGTTTCAAATCAGTCCATATCTATTTGTAAGACGCTAGCAGTCATAAACGATCCCTAATGTATTTGTGAATTTCATGTAAATTTATATTTCTGTTTCTAGCACCGATGCTTTAATTCAAGACACTATAAGGAGGAACTTTAAAGAATGCACCGTCGTCACGGTAGCACATCGTTTAAATACCATTATAGACAGCGATCGGATTATTGTGATGGAAGATGGCACCATCGTGGTAGGTCTCATCGTTTTTATGAAGCCGTAGGTTAAAAAAGTATCAACGTCAGTGTTTTCTCGACAATACCTGGCATTTTTAATAGTACAGAAAAGTTGTTGCGAAAAATATTACCTCAGCCAGGGTTTGAACCTGGACCTCCCTACACTCTAGGCGCCTCACCAATTCGACCACCGAGGCATATGATAATATTTGTCGCGATAAACAGTATAAAGATGTTGTCCACGCGCCTATTTCGATTTTTTTTAACAAAGAAAAGATTTTGTTAAGTTCTTGTTAAGTTTTAAATTTTCTAAGTTGTATTTATGATAATCACAATTGTTACCTCAACAGGAATTCGGTTGCCCTTACGAGCTGTTGCACGAAAAACCAAACGGCTACTTCTCACAAATGGTACAAAAGACGGACAATCAGATGGCACAGAATCTTTTGGAACTGGCGAGAAAAGCTTGCGAGAAACACGAGGATCATTACCATTTGAGGTTATCGCAACGAAATACTGAGAACGAGAGCGAGGCCACAATTACAGAAGAGTCCGCTTTGTAGATTTCTTTTGGCTATTTTTTTAATTAAAAAAGGGAAATGTATATATTTATAATTACGTAGATGTATATTTTATTGTATATACATGTACACATATATACATATGTATACGTGTAAAAATATAAACATAATTATAAACATGTCTTTCCAAACTAGTACGTATACGATCAAATTTGTGAAGAAGAAAAATGAAGAAAAAAAGGATCAATGTATGATGGCTTGTAATGGTTTCCCGTCCACGATAATGTTGACGTTTAAATAATTGGAGAAAAATTAGATTCAGAAAAAAATTACATTTTACTATAAGAAACAAATTTAAAAAAAGAAAAATAAGTGTTATGTTGAATAATTAACGTGAAACAACGCGCGAAAAAGGAACACGAGAAGTGTTTTACATTAATGTTTTTATACAACGTACGGGATAATTATCGTTATCGTACCGCAAAACGATGACGCCGATATGAAAAATAAGTACACACTGGTGGTTCCAGTAAAGTATTGACTATTGGAAAGCGTTTCTCGGAACGGCAGAGAACGTGGAAAAGAAAACGAAAAAGAGAAAATAAGAGTGCTAATTATTTTCATTAGTTTTCTATTGGTTTGAAGTGTCGTTAAATCTTGTGAGAAAATACGATAACATGGATAAAGATACGACTGACTTGAAGCCAAACCCCAGGGAGACTGCGAATATTTTCAGTGTTCTATTCTTCTGGTTCGTTAAGTTTCTTAC